TAACCCCGGACGGCCCCTTATCTTGCAGTCCAGAGACCATATTTGGTGGAGTGTGCGTACCCTGAAGGAACTGTGACTACCATTATGGTGGTGTATTCTTACATAGGATTTGGTATGCATAGCACTGTCCATCTGACAGGTGGCGAGGTGCTACTGCGCTACAGTAAATCTCCCAGCACAATTACAACACACAATGTAACAAGTAGTACAAACAATAGGGGGACAGAGGAAGTGTTTTTACTCAGAGTTTCACGCACTAAGCGATCATCAGAAAACAGTAATGGGAAATCTGGATCAGTATTGGTTTATATACTCACAAAGCAAAGTGTAAATAGCGGCAGTGCAAAGCGTGAATGACAGCAGTGGTGAAAGGTGACAACCACTGGAGCTGGTTGTCTCTTACTTAATTAGGTGATGGCTGTAGATGGTTTAAAGTTCCGAAGGTAGTACCTATTCTCATGGCGACAATTCGACACAAGCTCACTCCTTTTGTTGAGATTTCCCATTACTGTTTTCTGATGATCGCTTAGTGCGTGAAACTCTGAGTAAAAACACTTCCTCTGTCCTCCTATTGTTTGAACCAGCTCTACCACTCGGTATTGAGCACTCTCTTGGACAGCCTGGAACCTCTCTGTTTTAACAAGTAGTACATGTAGTAGAGCACCTACCTGTCTCTCAAGAGCATCACCATCGCTGGCCAGTTGCTTGTCGCACGGCTCATGTGGGTGGTACGGACCTACGGGCCGGGTAGACAGGAACAACACAAGCTTGTGTTAACATACACCCAACCTTCACATGCCAGCACCACACATAGATACATGCCAACACAACACAGCAAGCACATGCCAGCACAACACATGAATACGTGCCTGCTGGTCACAAGACACCAGCAAAATATGCTGCATGCAGCATCTTGCTGAACGCAGATAGTCTTTGTCAAATAGCACAACCAGAGTCTTGCTACTTTCCGGAGTATAAGGCGCACTTTAAACACTCGTAAGACATAATTCACCAAAAAAAGCCGGTACGGCTTATACTACGTTGGTCAAATGAACCGTGAAATACAGGGTAGATGTCTGTACAGTCGTCCCTCTCTAATCCGGCACTTGTTTATCCAGCACCCTTGCAAACCAGCACACTTTCTGGCAAAACGGATTTTTTCAGTTCATTTTCTACGCTTTAATCCGGCACTTGAATTCCGCCTCCAGCAGCGATTTTCTGCAACAAATCACTCAAACTGTACACAATTCGATTTTCTAATCCAGCAGTTGTACATCGCATACCGTCAGGGAGCATTGTAACATACACAACACATGTAACATACACTTGGGAATATCCTATGCACTCGTATTCCCAAGTGTATGTTATAGATATGCATTCCACGAAGTACTTGGATTGACACAGAAAATCCCTACGTTTTGACGTACGACACAAACATGTACGTTAACTTATGTGGGCCGGGTTGGAGGGCAGGATTTTATAATCCAGCACCCTTGTTTATCCAGCAGAAAATGCCGTTGCAAAAGGTGCCGGATTAGAGAGGGACGACTGTATTTCGTAACCAAAATCTGGATGCGGCTCATACTCCGGAAAATACGAAAATTGTCAAGAACTGCCAGAGGGATTCGAACAAGCAAAAAGAGCACTTAAAGCAGATACCACACAGACTCAACAAGAGCATGTCTTTACATACAAAGTCCAGCAGATGCCAGCGCTGCCAGTCGACGATCATCACGGCGTGACTCCACAAGAATGGGCGGAGAGACGACTTCACACACCTCGGTGGACAGCAGGATTGGTGGGCAGAAGTCACGCAAGTTGAATACATTCCTGTGAAGGCAAGACAGAAGAAAGCAGAAATTGATGTGAACAAAATGCACACTTGGATGCTTGGCTGGCTGGCTAGCATTGTGACATACGTGCATGGTAACACACAACAGCAAAAACAAAAGACTTAGGGTGCAACAATGTTTTACATCGGAGCCCAGAGCCACAGCGTGTAAAACAGGGATACACACCATGCAGTATGATGAATCACAAAAGCGTTAATTCGCACGCAGAGCTAGAGTGCGATATGTTATGTATATGTGATCACTTCGTCCAGCCCCTACACCACCGAAAGCAATCAGCAGGGATCGGCGGCAACATACCAGGGTCTAAAGACGCGCAGTTGCACACCAGTGGTCACCGATAGACGCCTGCACAGGGTTACTGGCAATGCCAGCACCAGCAGACTGCGGTCAGGATGATCATCGCCAACCTCTGCCATGTTGGTGGACCTGGCTATTGGTGAGCCGTCGTGACTGCTTGGCACGGGAGATGCAATGCGGCCAGAGATATGCTTGCAGTAGGCCCACTTGAAGCCCGAGCTGGATGCAGACATTACAAGAACTTCCACTACGAGGTGGTCCATGTCTACACGTGCACGAACAAACACATACACACACGTGCACACACATGCACCACACACACACACACACACACACACACACACACACAC